AGCACACAGCGTCAATTTTAATAAATGCTTCATGTACTACTGGCAGAGTTAAAAATATAATACTCTGGTCCACTGCAGACTCCTGGCTCAATGGAACATTATACTGCCTTGCATAATTTTAAAAACACATGAGGGGCAGGCTAGTCAGGTGATCGGATCTTCTGAAGACAGCATCCTGCATGCACTGGATAATAAACCCCACACCAGCTGTGCAAATGTCTTCTACCAACGAATTTTAAGGCATTTTCTTTTAGCTTAGATTATCCTTAATCACGATTTCTATGAGCCACTTCACTCTAGCTCCCGACACTTCCTGTATATATACTTTTAAAGATTTTATTTATTTATTTGAGAGAGCAAGCATGAGCGGGGAGGGGGGAGAGGCTGAGGGAGAAGCACACTCCCCGCTGAGCAGGGAGCCCCAACATGGAGCTCAATCCCAAGACCCTGGGATCATGACCTGAGCTGAAGGCAGATGCTCAACCGACTCAACCACCCAGCTGCCCCTCCCTGTATATTTAACTGTTGTTCCCTCCTTATAAATGAGATGAAAACATAAACCTCTGCTGTTCTCAAGTAAGTGACATAGGACGTGGGTCCCTTTCTCAGAAACATAAATCTCACAGTATTGCAACAGATGCAAGGAGGGCTGAATGCAAACTTTCCAAGGAAAATGGCTGTCTAAAAACCAAGCCAGCTGGCAATTTCATGTTGCTACCGAAGAACAGAGAGGGACCTGCCTTTTAAGCCAGCCTCAGATAAGGAAATGGAGACCCAAGTGAACCTCAACCTTGCCCACCATTTGTTTTTCTTTTCTGGAAGCGTACAGATGGATCTTCATCTCTGACACACTGAAATTTTGCCGCTGTGTCTCAGCCTTGGCGGGTTTCTATCATTCTTGGTGCTCTGCCTTGGAGCACCTTGTCTTTGTAAAGGCTCAGAGCCTCCAGCTTGGGAAACGGTCAACTACTTTTCCTTTGATTATTCCCTCCCCTACTTTTGTATTTTCCTCTCTTCTTTCTTTCTAGGACTCCAGGATGTTAGGCCTGGATAGATCCTCAATGTGTCTTGTCTTTTGTTGGAGAGTTTTCGTATCTGTACTTTATGGAACAGTTTCCCAACTGGACAGCAGCTACTGAATATTTCCAGTTGGAGGACACAACAAATCCTAAGAACTCTTGTGTGTCCCGACTGCTCATCTTACAGTTTCCTAGTGTCATCTTTTGGATGTAATGCCTTTGGGCAGCTCTCTAGATTTATTAAACCAATCTTTAGGACATATTTTGTGTTGTGAATTATCTCTATCCTGACAAGTCAGTGTTTCAGTTCATCTTGGTCTTTTTGTTCTTCAAAGGCAAACCTTGGTTATCAGATCTCACTGAAGAAAGCAGTGTGGGGGACTTGGGTGGGTTTCTTCTGCGGCTCTGTCAGACCTCCTTCCACATGGAAAGAAAGTGTGGGCGGAGGATGCCATCTGGTCAGCTCTCCTCTGGGCTCAGTTGGTGGGAAGGGGGTTGTGAACTTGGGGCCCTAATAGCTACATGAGAAGTCTTAGCTCTCCATGGTCATTCTATTTAGTATCTTGGTGTATTGTTCTGTTTTGATGAGAAGAGTCTTTAAAAATAGTTTTGGCCCAGTCATAAACATCAGGCTGCCTGTATTCTATAGAGAACAAGTGGCCGAGACATTGGTCCCATGTGTGCACTCTGAATGGGCCCACTGGTTTTCAGTTTCACCTGCCGACTCTGAGTCCAGAAATTCTCCAGCAAAGCCTCAGGCAGGTAGCTTCCTGCCTCTACCGCAGGCTCTTGGGGTTACTGCCTTCTGCTCTCTGCTGTATCCATTCATGCACTTCCAGAACATTCCATCTTCTCGAAAGTTGTTAAAAATTTTTCTTCCTCGGATGATCCCCTTTTCCCCCTGCCTATCCAATACTTAACTGTGGAGGTTCATTCCTTATGAAGTTTTTGTACTTTTACTTAAGAGAGGTCTCTAGAAAAACGGGAAGTCATCTCAAAGCAGGATGTATTCTGGGGCGCCTGTGTGGCTCAGCCAGTTAAGCATCTGCCTTAGCCTCAGGTCATGATCCCAGAGGTCCCAGGATCGAGCCCTGCAATGGGCTCCTTGCTCAGCAGGGAGCCTGTTTCTCTCTCTCCCCCTCCTTGTGCTCTCTCTCTCTGTCAAATAAATAAATAAAATCTCTCTAAAAAAAAAAAAAAACCAGGATGTATTCTATAAACCACGTCTGAGCGTCAAATCAGTCTGGGACACCCCAGGTAATATATTCTTAAGATTTGGGTTTCTCTGCAGATGACTTAACACGGAAAACAGATGCATGCTGACAGTTTTCACAGGATTCTATGTATTCAAGTTACAGATTTAAAAAATAACCAATCAAAATAAAACAAAAATAAAAAATCACTAATCAATCTATCAAGGGAGTTGGGGGGTAGATAGTTAATTGTTTATCAATCATAAACAGTTTATAATTATAAGGACTTTTCTTTTATGATTATTAATATATCCTCAAGTAAAACTATGTCAAGGTTGAGAAATTAGAAAATCTACAATGCAGAATGAAAAGAGCCTCTGGGGAGTTAAGAAACTAAAATTTCAGTCCATGTCTTTAATAAACTCTAGGGAGTGAGGCAGGCTTCGTAACCACACCAGACCTCAGTTTCTCCATTACTAAAATAAAAGAGCAGTGTGGGCGACCTTAGGGAACGTTGTCACACTCACCCACGGTCCCGAAGTTACCAGTTGATCTTTGGACAAGGGGGAGAGTTGTTTTCTGTGGCCCTATCAAGTGCTAATCTGCCTGTTCTATGGGTGGGAAACTGGGGCCAGAAGAATAATCCTGAGCATAACTGAAGGGCAGGAGGAGGGCTGGACTGGAAAACATTCTAATGTCACCGTGAGCTTTAGACGTTATGGCTGTGGGGTGTGTGGATACCTTCTCAGGTTTATGGGCCAGAGCAGAGCCACCCCATCCAGCATGCTGAGACTGTCTTACTCCCACAGAGACTTGAACACCAAAAGTTACCCAAAACTGACATGTGACCCAGGGTTTTCATTTCACTTGGGACTGATAAAGCATTCCCACTCATCTTTGCAAATTCCATCTAGCTCCCACTGCCCGCAAACGGAATCAGGTAGAGAAGGGAGAAGAGAGAGCTCCCTGGACCTCCTTGGTGACCTAAGCGACAAGAAAACGAACATTAAATGCACGACAGGAAGCAAGCCCTCTCGGTCCCTAACCACATCTTTCAAGTCCTATTTCTGAGAATAGAAAATTCTAAGCTCAATTTGAGAGTCACTGTAAACTCCTCTCTGTGCCAGATGATTTTATCTGCATATTTATATCCAAAGTACAAACAACTTAAACTGTTTACACTAAGGAGTAATGGAAGTCATGTGTCAAACACAATGGGAGGAAAAATAGGAGAGCATTCTTCACAAAGAAAGCCTGAAGATATACAATATCTGTGGAAAGTGTGGCCTATAAGAATGCATTGTTTACCTATTCCATTTAATTACAGAGAACATGAATTCTTACCCTTTGCATACAATGACTAACGTCTCGGTTTTTGGTTTGGTTTTGCCCGCCAGTGTTGCCAGGAGCTCTGGAAGTCTCACAGCCCCATGCACACAGCCTTAAGGAACACAGCCACACACGTTCCTGTCATCTGTGGTCCCCGTCTGCTTTCATCTCCCGCTTCCAGAGGGAGGCGGGAGATGACACAATGCCCACAATGCCCCAAAGCAGAAGAATAAAAACAGTACAGAGAGCCCTCCTCAGATGCTCGCAAGGCCTTCAGCACATCAGCTTTCCTTGCTGAACGCTGTCAAGACAGGAAAACTAGACAAGGCCACCAAGAGACTCTGGGCTTCATCGGGAGAGAGTCATCTGAATTTATCACCAAGTACAAGCCTGCGGGGACAGCTTCTCTGCAACTTCTAACCAACAGTGAATCAGGCACAACCAGCCAGAAAAAGTCTGTCACACACATGCCATCGTATGTGGGCTTCCCAGAGCCTCCAGCTACCTGCCTACACAGAACCTATCCTAGCGTGAAAGCTTAAAGGGGTCAGAGGTATTATTAATGGAAAACACAGTACAAGCTGTTGTTTCTGCAATGTCACATGTCTTAGAGGAGAGATGATCATGGACCCTTGGGTGAGGTCCAGCTCTTCACTTCCTCTCAGCCACACTCACTGGATCACTCTCATGCATCTGCCTCTCTAGTGTTCAGTGTCCTGGCTGAGCACCCAGCCTGAGCCATCCCAGCACCTGCCCTCTGTGGTGCTCTGTGGATCCAAAACTACATGGCATATTCGCACAAAGGCCTCTAGCTCTTTGTATTCTAAAACTGAGAAGAGCTGACACTGTTCCATCCTTTCCTTTGCTTTTTCTTTTTACTTCGGACAAGTGTCATTTTATCCTGCTTTTGTAGTTCTGCTGGCTCCTCTCAATGGCAGAAAAGAACATCCAAACGAATTCCTTCAAAAACATACATCCCAATTTTCAAAGAGGTAGACACTTCATCTGAGGCAATTTTTATACACTCGTTCTCAAGGTGATTCCAAAGATGGACTAGCCAGGCCCAGCGAAAATTCAGTTTCTCTATGTCCTCAACAACCAAAACCTAAAGGCTGGACAAATGCTAGAAGAAAGCAACAAATCTTGGAGAGAAAACAAAAAACAAAAACAAAGCAATCTGTAGAGCTGAATTAAAAAATGGACAGACCCGCTTTCCATCAGTTTTTACCTTTCCACAAAACCTTCACTTCCTCGATCCACATAATGATAAACAGAAGCTAATTAAAGCTAAAAGAACCAACTAACAACATATTTAGCATTTTAAACTTTCTATTTTAATCTAGAATGTTTGACTGCTTGAAGTATTTTGCATCTCACTCATAAATTGTGAGAATAAAATATTGAGATACAAGTTTATGTAAGCTACGTTATATTAACTGAGGATCTAAACACATCTTACCTGTAAATATGTTTCCAAACCTTGTCGTCGTTGTTCCAAGACTTTTGGGATCCAGTTCCTAACATGTTTAGAAGGGATTTCTGGAGTTTTTATACATTTCTTCAGCTATAAAGACAGAAACAGAAAAAAAAAACAAACAAACAGAAAATGTCTCAGTTATAAAGACATTCTTTGAGGGGAAAAGCCAGTAAAAGAAAATGAACCACTACTATCTCCAATAAAAAGGCAGAAGAAAATAAAATTATATTGAAATTTTGTTAAAAAATTCTTTACTTAGAGGTGCCTGGGTGGCTCAGTCGGTTGAGTGTCTAACTCTTGGTTTCAGCGCAGGTCATGATCTCAGCATCCTGGGATCAAGCCTCGTGTCATGCTCCCGGCTCAGAGCAGAGTCTGCTGGAGATTCTCACTCTCTCTCCCCCTGCTTGCTCTCTGTCTCTCTCTCAAATAAATAAATAAAATCTTTAAAAAAAATTCTTTACTTAGCTGTCCTAAATGTTCAGGTTTTAGGATAAGAGTTTTGTGTTTTTGGTAGTTGTTATGGTTGTATATCATCTAGTATTTCAGACCAGAATTATTTTTTTCTGAAAAATTATAAGTTCAGTAAATGCAAAAAAAAAGTTCAGTAAATGCATCATAATGGAGGTAAAGTAGTTTATAATTTCCAAAGTCAATTAATAGAAAGAAATTTTGCTCAGAAGAAGTATTTTTCTGGTGAAAAAGACTTTCTACATATTATTTCACATAAAAAGTCAAAATAAAATGCAATGTTTATAACCATCTCACTGGAAATGCCATATGAACTAGACCACACCATTTGGAAAGTTTCTCAAAAGGTCTGTAACAGGATGAACTTTAGCTTTTTAAAAGAGAAAGACTGATGCTTCCAATGCTCCTAAGAATTAGGTCCAAATTCTGTTCAAGAAAAATCATGATTCTCAGCTAAGCCTTTCTGGGCAGCAGTCTGAAGGAACCACATACAAAAGAAAAATTCTACTGGAACTTAAGTTAGAGCTGCCTGTGGTAGGTACATCCTGTCTACGACATTAACATCCTAACCTGTGAATGTTACTTTATTTTACATGGCCAGCCACTTTGCAAAGGTGATAAATTAAGGGTCTTAAAAATGTAGTGATTCTCTTAGATTATCCAGGTGGGCTCAGTGTAATAATAAGATTCCTTATAAGAGGAAAGCAGGAGGGTCAGAGTCAGAGAGAGTCTGGAAGATGCTACATGACTGGCTTCCACCCCAGAGGAAGGGTCAAGAGCCCAGGTGATCTCTAGAAGCTGGAAAAGAAAAGGGAATGAATGCTCCCCTCCAGCCTCGTGATGCCTTGATTTTAGCCCAGTGAAACTCGTTTCGGACTTTTGACCTCAAGAAGGATTAAAAAAATAAATTTGTCTTGTTTTAAGCCACTAAGTTTGTGCTAATATGTTACAGCAGTAATATGAAGCTGATACACTGACTAAAGCGGAATGAAGGTTAGTATTCTAATTAAAAACTTGGAAAACCTACTGAGACTGTGTAGTGGGAAGTCAGAGCTGGTTAAGAATATACAGATTATGACCTGCTGAGTAAGGAGCACAAGCCCTGAGCATCTGAGCTCCCACGCTGGGGAAGTGAACGCCATGGGCTTGTTTTGAATGAAGGCACAGCTTCATTATACCCCACGGAAAGGACATAGAGTCAGAAGATATATTACAGATCCCAGAAGGAAGGGAGGGGTAGCAGGTTATGAGCAAACAGGAGATAAGAGAGCAGGATAGCAAGCACCTATCAGTTAGTTACAGGTGGTCAGGACGGAGGTCACTAACTTGTGGAGGGCTTAACTCCAAAAGATTATTTTAAAAGGTACCAGGGAAAGCCAAGTGAGAACTTACGGCAGAAATCCTGAATTCGAGTCCTCACCTAAATGTTCCGACTCTGGGTATGAGCAGGGTTATCATACTGTAAAATGCCTAGACAGCAGCTCAGAAAATCAAAATTGTTTTTCAAAGTTTCAAAAACTCAGACAAACAAAAGTTTTTCTCATCACAGACTGTCTCTTTACTACACATGCACATAAGGAGCATAATAATCACTAAGAAAATGCACACAGTTAAAGCCTAGCAGCTAAACCTAAAATAAAAACATCTTCCTGTACAGAAGAATATATTTATCATTAACCGAAAAAGAAGAGGTCTTTGTACATTTCCCAGATCAGCACTTCCAGTTCAAGCCACCAGGCTGAGCCTGGATTTGCCGCGTCCCTCCACAACTTAAGTGCCATTAAAATACTAATGTGAAAGTGTTAGCTGCAAACCACAAATCCACTCTCCTTGCTTTCCTCACCAATAGAGCTCCTGTATTATTAGGAATAATCATGTATTCAGCTAAATTCAGCCAAAATGCTAAATTTCCCAAACCCCCCTGCAGAGAGTGGAAGACAGTAGTAATCCGAAGACACTGAGGACTTTTCATAAAATGGAACAGACTCAGGGCGCCTGGCTGGCTCAGTCGGTAGAGCATGCAACTCTGGATCGTGGGGTTGTGAGTTTGAGCCCCATTTGGCTGTAGAGACTCAGTTGGCTTGCACCTTCTGTTCTACCGTACCTCGCACCCCACCCAGGTCCATCCCCCACCACCTTCTTCCTGCCTAGAATGTAACCGTGATGGCTGGAGCTGCAGTGCCCATCTGCCACCATGGGGCAACTCTGAGGATGGGAGCTCAGATGCCTGAGCAGAAAGGAAGGAGCAGCTGCGTGCCTGGGAGCCTTCAGGAGCTGCCTCAACAGCCCTGGACTGCCCACCCACCCCCAGACTTGTGTTTTGAGAGGAAAAAAAAATCATCCCCTCTTTTTTTTCTTAAAGGTTACTGGTATTGGGACTTTCTGTTTTATGTACCTGAATTTAATCCAGATAGACATCCAAAAAGAAAAGAAAAGGCAAAAAGCCAAAGGTAATGGGACACAGAAGAATGAAAACAAAGGGGCAGAGAAGTACTTACCAACTGAGACATCAAGAACTTTCTACAAGACAGAAAGCAGGAGTATGTCAATGAAGAAAACAGAGTGGAGGAAGCCCCCAGCCAGGCCACCTCAAGAGAGGGATCGCAAAGAGCGGGTACCCCCGTCTTCTCAACAGACTTGAGAGCTTTGTGCTCAGGACTGGTGTAAGGGCGGGGGGAACCAAGAAGAGGGATAAGACAATGCCATGGCTCGTGCCAATGGACACTCTACCCCTCTACCCCCATAAGCGGGGGGACTAGTAACCTGGCTGCACTCACACCCCTACCCCATAAAAAAGGGTCAGCGTCCCTCAGGAAAATGAATGAGGCATCTGGTTGGAACGACGGCATCTGCCATTCTATTCATCCTGTCGTGGGGTCCCCAGTCTAACAGCTGGCTCTCTCCTCTCACTCCCTATGACAAAGCCCTCCAGCTGACACACCCTACAGAGGGACCAGGCTTGCACACCTGAGGCAAGGTACGAGTGACAAACACCAAGAATAATTCATCTTGTTGGATGGGCAACTGAGGCTAGCTATCCCAGCAAAGACAGCACTATGAAAAAGAAAGGACAAGAAAAACAAGCACAACAATGAACCCCAAAGGAAAACAAGTAACAGAAGAGATCTTTGACATTATCTATTATCTGCAGGGAGATCTGAGAAGATACTGCTTCTATAAAACAAGAAGAGAGTGCTATGAAATTTGAGATTTTTTTTTAATTAAAAAACATGATACGGAAGTAAAAAATTAAAAGAGGTAGAATATAAAATCATGGACGTCTCTCAAACTGTCCAACAAAGAGAGTGAGAACAAAGTTAGGTGAAAAGAAAAACACCACCAGGATTAATCCAGGAAGTTTAATATAAACTCAATAAGCATTCCATAAAGGAGAAAAGAAATTCTCAAAGAAATGATAGAAGAATTATGTGACTTCATATAGATTTTCAGATTAAGAACTCACTAAGCACCAGCGTAATATACTTTAAAAGCCCCACGGCTACTGACATTTATCTGTGAGCTCTCAGGAAAACAAGGAGAGAGGGAAGACCTAGGGAAAACACTGGGTGACGAGCACAGGAAGGGAAACGGCAGGTGCAGCTGACTTCTCATCGGCAATGGTGGGTGTTAGGACATCAGTGCTGCAAAGATGTAACATGAGCATGGATTTCTATCACCAGCCATACCATCAATCACGTGTGGGAGAACAAAAGCATTTTCTGACATTCAAGACCTCAAAAAGTTTACCTCCTATGGCTTCTTTTACACAAAGGAAGTTGAGGATGTAACTCCAGAAAGCAGCTTAAAGCAGAGAAGAGAAAGAGGAGGATCAGGACTCCCAGCTCTGTCCCATCAGTGTGAGGAAGGGAATCCAGGGACAGCAGATTTGGAGCAGGGAGCTTCTGGGAGAAGGTTGATCCATGCAGTAGATGGCATGGGGAAGATGAATACATTTTAGGTTTTGTTCAAGTAGATTATCTTTTGTCTTTTAGAAAAGATAAGTTCCAGGGGGAAGCAAGAGCCCCTGAAGGTGGTCATGGAGCAGAAGACACTGAGCCTCTCCTATATGTTAATTCAGAGCCAAAGACACTCCTGGGGCACACGGGGCTTATACACCAGGCAAAGACAAGAAACAGTACACGAGGTAATAAAACAGGTAGGGGCAGATAGTAACAGAAAGGGGTGGGAGTTGGGGGCCTGTGTGGGATGGGATGTGAATTACGCAGGGAGGGAGCCAGGTAAGGAGCCGGGGAGGGAACATTACAGCAGATGGAGCAATGGGTGGTCAAAACACAGCAAGGAGGAGACGGGTTCAGACAGGTGGCAGCCTCGTACACTGTAGGACCTTGGAGGCTATGTAGGAAATTGTGTTCATTTTAAATGGGAAGCTTAGTGAATGTCTTCAGCAAGGGAATGACCTGATAGAAATTTACTTTAAAGAGGTCATGCTAGGGGTGCCTGGGTGGCTCAGTTGGTTAAGCAACTGCCTTCGGCTCAGGTCATGATCCTGGAGTCCCGGGATCGAGTCCCACATCGGGCTCCCTGCTCAGCGGGGAGTCTGCTTCTCCCTCTGACCCTCTCCCCTCTCATGTGCTCTCTCTCTCTCTCTCATTCTCTCTCAAATAAATAAATAAATAAATAAATAAAAAAAAAAGAGGTCATGCTAGATTCCATAAGCAAGATGCACCATAATAGGGCGGGAGTCAATGTGGGGAGACCGGTCAGAAGCTTCTACAGAAGAAATCCAGGCGAGAGACCAGGGTGATTTGGACTGTGGTCCTGGCAGTGGAAGCGGGGACAAGTAGAAGCTGCAGGGGTATATAGAAAGAAGAGATGCTCAGAACCACTCCAAGTCCCTGGCTGTTTCAGGTCTGTGGCTTTGCCTGGCAGTCATGTTTGAGTGACCCGCCTACTGTTTACTCAAGTGTGGTAGAAAGCCAGGTTCAGGGAAAGTGGCAGGGAACACTAGTTATCTCCTCAAATCCACGGTCTTTCCCTTCTACAGAACAGAACGGATTTTCAGGTTGAGTACATGACCGCCCAGAATAAATAACACATTTCCCAAATTCCCTTGAAGCTGTGTTTGGCCATATGGCTGAATTCTGGTGGAAGGCAAATAAACAGACATGTATGTGCACCTTTCAGGAAGTGTTCTTACAGGGAAGGACTATTTCCTTCTTTCCTTTCCTCCATCCTGCTGCCTGACCTGGCCATGTAATGGCTAGAGAGACACACGACCATCACCTTCAACCATGAGGTAGAAGCCTCCCCTGGAGAATGGTAAAGGCACAAGAGCCTGGGCCTCTGATGATCATGAAACAGCCACACCAGTCCTACACATTTACATGAGAAAAATAAAGGTATATCTGTGGGGCGCATGAGTGGCTAAGCCTTTGCCTTCGGCTCAGGTTATGATCCCAGGGTCCTGGGACTGAGCCTGGCGTCAGGCTCTCTGCTCAGTGGGGAGTTTCCTTCTTCCTCTCCCTCAGCCCCTCCCCCTGCTCATGCTCTCTCTCTCAAATCTTTTATAAATAAATAAATAAATAAATAAATAAATAAATAAATAAAAGTATATCTGTGAATGCCACCATTATTTTGGCTCTAGAGTTACTTGCAGCAAAGTCTAATCTCATATAAGTAGGGCTTACAGCTGATATTGTTAGCTGCCTACCCAATATTCACTCCTTCCTTCTTCTTGCAAAAAAACCCCCAAAATCCAAAACCAAAAACCCAATGCCATTCAGAGTGCCAACAAGTTTGTCAAAAAATCTTGATTTCCTAAGTTCCCTTGCAATTAGGATGGCCATGTGACAGAGGTGTTAATGAAATGTAGTTTAAGTCTACTGGGTAAGGCTCCTGTTTTCCTCAGAGAGAAAGGAAGGGAAAGGAAGGGAAAGGAAGGGAAAGGAAGGGAAAGGAAAGGAAAGGAAGTGAAAGAAAAGAGAAAAAAGAAAAGAAGGAAAAAGGAAGTGAAAGAAAAGAAAAGAAGAGAAAAAAGAAAAGAAAAGAAAAGGAAAGGAAAGGAAAGACAGAAAGAAAAGAAAAAAGAAAAAGGACCTTCTTCCTGACAGAAATGCAGAAGCCAGGACTGGAGAGACAGCAGCTATATTGTAACCAGAAGGGGGCAAGGCACCTGCGAACACTAAGATGGTAAAGCAGAAAGACAAAAAGGAGCTTGGAACATGGATACTGTGGAACTGCTACATCAACTTGGACTGCCTGCTTTAGTTTTGTTGTAGTGTGAGAATCATCTCTCACTCGTTTAAGAAACCTAGTCAAGTGCCTATTATATCCAACCAAAAATAATCCTGTCATAAAGGAACCCACTATTTGGTTTTGATGATTTTAAGTCACAGAGGCCCACTAGGCACTCAAATGGATATAAAGTGTAGGCAAGTGGATAGGGGTCTGTAGATCTGGGCATCAGATACCTAAGTGGAATCTAGAGCCATGGAACTAGATGACAGTGGGAGTTTCTCCACTAGCACAGACAGAAAAAAAATTGCTGTCATGGCAGAATCCTAAGACAGCTCCCAAGATCCCGTGTCTCTGGGTGCATGTGCTACAGAATCCCTTCCCCCTTGGGTACAGATGGCATCTGTAAACGTGGTGGGGGAGAGTCACTCCCTTGATCAGGTTACCTTTTATGAGACCCAGTCCTAGCAGACTGCTGGCTTTGTCATGTCACAGCCACATGGCTTGGACTTGGGGGTGGCCTTGAGGAGCTGAGAGCTACCTCTGGTCAATAGTCAGCAAGCAAAAAGGGACCTCAGTCCCATGACAGCAAGAAACGGAGTCTCCCTAAAATGAGCTTGGAAGAGGACCCTGAGCCCCAGATGGGACCACAGCCTTGAAGACACCCCGATGTCGGCATGGTGAGACCCTAAGCTGAGAACCCAGTAAACCTGTGTGCAGACTCCTGACCCACAGAAACTCTGAGCAGATACAGTCATCTTGTTTTATGCTACTGAGTGTGTGGTGATCTGTTCCACTCCAACAGGGCACTGATACAAGGGCTGAGACCTCCAACTCTGAGAGGCAGGACAGAGAAGCAGGCAGTCAGTCCCTCACTGAGCAGGGGCTGAAACCTCATGCTTGGGCAGCAAAGTGTTCCAAGAAGTGGGCATGGTCAGATTGCGCCCAGTGAGCCTGGGAAAGTCAAACACTGTGTAGAGAGCAGGTAAGAAGTGGGAAAGCAGAGACTCCTCTGTCAAGGAATTCTACCAAGAAAGGAGAGTAACGGGGGCAACACGGGAGGGAAGCATGGAGTCAAAGGCGGGTTTTATTGTGCTAAATGGGAAATGCTACGACATGTTCATTTATTGATGAAACTGATCCAATATTGAGGAAGGGGAGGGGGAGGGAGGGAAAGAGAAACAATTTATGACTGTCTGTAAGGGAATAAATACATATCTCACCTCTACACCATTTGAGGTATTTCTCAAACAGGAACAAAGCAAAAAATGCTAAATTATTCTGTGGTAATAAGCTTATTCAGTTTCAGTTTAAAGCTAAAGAAACTTCCTTTAAAACTACCGAATCATGACATTTCTTACATTGTAAAATAGAAAATCAACTCCATTATCTGTCTCTCTCTCTCTCTTTTAAATCTTGAAGATATAGTACAGAAAACACTTTTCCTTTTTATTTATGTCAGAAGTGTGCAGGAAGCCGATCATCATAGCTGCGGGGATCTGTGACAGCATTTGTAGGTGAGTAATGAATTGCTTTAGATGAGGAGAGACAAACCCAAGACAATATGTTTCCAGCAGGGCTCAGCTGCTCACAAGATAAATACTCCTCTGCCATTCCAGCAGATGATTAACTGTTCTGGCCATACTGCACCCAGCCACATGGCCTTTCTGATCCACGTGGGTAGCCACCAGATTCCACGATACTGCAAGCACAGTCCCCTTCTCCTGGAGTGATCACTCCCTTTCCTTTTTATTTTTTTAAAAAATATTTTATTTATTTATTTATTTATTTTCAAGTAATCTCTACACCCAACACGGGGCTTGAACTCACAACCCCGAGATCAAGAGCCAAGGCTAAGCTAGCCAAGTGCCCCCTCCTTTTCCTTTTTATACCATGAGAAGAGTAAACTCAGAACTTAACTCCACACAGACATGTCATAGATACGCTGGTGACAGTGGCTGTTTTCTTTGTTTAAGATTTTATTTATAGATTTATTTATTTGAGAGAGAAAGAGAGAGAGAGCATGTGCATGAGTGCAGGGGAAGAGCAGAAGGAGAGAGAGGAGAAAGGAATCTCAAGCAGAGTCCTTGCTGAGCCTGGAGCCGGTCTCAGGGGCTGGATCCCAGGACTCTGAGATCATGACCTGAGCCGAAACCTAGAGCTGGATGCTCAACCGACTGAGCCACCCAGGTGCCCCAATAGTGACCATTTTCCACAGAAAGGAATACAAATACTTTTCCAGAGCACATGAATAAGAAGATGGAAATGGAACAAAAAAGTTAAGGAAAGAAGTGGAGAGCCTTTAGGGTAAAATTCAATCTTTCACTCCACCTTGGCATCCCTACATCCCTAGGGTTCCCTCTAGAAACACTACATGTGTCTGCTGTAGTCCTGGTTTAACCCATAAGGCAGCTTTGGGGTTCCTCTGAAATGTGTACTTCGTTAATTCAAATACAAGAATGTAATATTTTATTCAAGCCAAAAGGAGGCAATAACAAGAATGAGGACAGTTAATTTAGTAATGAACCAGCACCCTGTTTCCATGAAACCTCTGGGCTGGTGCTGAGAGCAAATAGCTGGGAAGGCATAGACTCAGCAGCTAGCCATGCAGGGAAGGTTTTTCTCCCCACTCACTCCCGTGACTGCAGGCGTAAAGGAGGTAAAGCTGTTCTCAAGGACCACCATTCAAAGTGGTAACTTGCTTGTCTCTAGGGGATGCGGGCAGGTCCTGCTGGGGCACAGGGGAAGCACGTGCAAGCTGAAGGCTCTCCCTGTCACCATGGTCTGGGCCTGAGCAGCATGGAGGGAACCATGTAACTTCATTTTTAAAAAGGATACTATGCGAAAAGTGAACAGGGTAGGCTTGCTTGGCTTTCAGTGTGGTGTTGGTGGTGGTGTTCCCATCTAGGACTGGAGAGCTACAAAGGACTTCCCGGTGTAACCTGAGATAGAAATTACAGTGAGCTCAAACACCATTTTTTTCACCCCAAATATTCCTCCATAATGTCCTCCAAACATCCTATTTGCCAAATACTTATTTAATGCTCAATAAGAGCCCAACACTAGCAGGCGGCAAGGAAGATAGGAAAGATAAGATACTGTCCCTTTTATAAAAAAATGTGTCTCCTAGTTGGACAAGACTTAGGGACAACTGAATTTTAATGACGTCTTAGATGTTTTTAAGTTAAGTAGAAACATCTACTCCAAAGGAACAGGAGGAGTGCCTGGCTGGCTCAGTCGGTAGAGCACACGACTCTTGATCTTGGGGTGGTGAGTTCGAGGCACACGTTGGGCACAGAGATTACTTTAAAAAAAACACATAAAAGGAACAGGAATTCCAAGAACAAAGACACGAGGGAATAAAAGAAACCCACACAAGAAAAGGAGAACGTGCAATGTTTTACTTTGGTTTGCAAAGATCAGAACGCAGAGGGGAGGCCGTACGGCATGGCAAAGAGACAGAAAAAGTGATTTTCATACACTGGGGTGAATGGGGAGACTGGTTTAGTGGCCACTGCTGTTTTCTTATGAGAAAGTGAGAAATAAGGTCGACCAGAAAATGGGTTTGTGGTTGACACAATGGTTCTCCCCAAAGATGTCCACGTCCTGATCCTTGGAACCTGAGACTATGTCATGTTACGTGGCTGAAGGGTGGGATTAAATCAAGTCCCTTGAGATGCAGACATTATCTGGGATTATGCAGGTACGGCCAACGTAATCTCAAGGGAGAGGCTGAAGTGTCACCCTCAGAGAGGGGGTTGTGGGGACCGGACAGATGATGATAGAACAGAACCTGCAGGGGCCTTACTGCTGGCTTTGGAGACGGAAGAGGCTACAAACCACAGACTGTGAACAGCTTCTAGAAGCTGGAAAAGGCAGGGAAACGGATTCTCTCCCCCGAAGCCTCCCAGGAGGAACATGGCCCTGTCGACATATAATAAATGTGTGTTGCTTGAAGGGGGGCGGAAATCAGAGCGGGAGACGAACCATGAGAGACTATGGACTCTGAGAAACACACTGAGGGTTCTAGAGGGGAGGGGAGTGGGGGGATGGGTTAGCCTGGTGATGGGTATTAAGGAGGGCACATTCTGTGTGGAGCACTGGGTGTTATACGCAAACAATGAATCATGGAACACTCCATCAAAAACTAATGAAGTAATGTATGGTGATTAACATAATAAAATTAAATTAAATTAAAAAAAATAAAAAGATAAATGTGTGTTGCTTTAAGCCACTATGTCTGTGGTGACAAATCCTACCAGTAAAAGGAAACTAATAGAGAGTCTAAGATTACTGGCCTTGAGGGTCAAGGTCCATGATATGGTTGACAATACGGACCCATTTCAATGTATTTGGGCAAAAGAATGAAGAAGGAAATGGTGCTTTAGGGAAACTGATATGTAGCAAAATACGAATCAGAAGACAAGGATCAGAAACAGTTAAAGCCAATACTTATAGAATAGTAAGACTCTGGCTGGGGAGGGCAGAGGAGAAAGGGGTAAGTTAAATGGTGCGTAGTATAAAATTTTGAGGAATCAGTCAATGGGACTTGATGACCCTGCGAATACGGAAGGTAAGAGAAACGCAGGAGAGACACCTCAAGGTTTCAAACCTCGTGGCTTCAGTGCCTGTGACGGGGAGAGGGTGGGTGGGGAGGGTTGTCGAAGAGATGCATCTAAAAAGAGAACCACACAATAGGACCTGTCAAACTTCAAGAGGCACTGGGATGCCTCATCATGTGGGATGCTAGTTGAACAGGCAGATGACTGGGCTCCATCACAGAGATTCTGCTTCAGCGTGGCTGGGTAGCACCCAGAATCTGCATTTCAGTCAACACTGTGCTGATTCTGGGGGTCCAAAGTGCACACTATGGAACGCACACATCAGGAAAAGCTAAAAGAAAATGGAATCAAATACTCCTCATAGCTCTGGGAGAAATGACTGATGTGACCCAAATCTGAAAGAGGGAAAATTGACCTAACAGATAACATACCAATTTAAAGCTTTTGTAAATTAAAATAAGTATCATAGCCAAAAGGTCCTGTGTGAAAAATACTTTCAGCAAATGGCTAATATTTTATTAACAGGCCAAACTAATGGGCAAAAACAAACGAGACCACAGCAGAAAGACAATTCCAAAAGAGGGACTACAACTCCTAAACAAACTGAAGACCTACCAATGAAAACAGCAGCAAGGCCACATACGTTGTTTACTAAGTAAACAAATATAATTGGGGGGGTAATATTCAAACCTGTTAAGATTTTGTGATACTTTCCAATGTGCTGGTTGCATTTTATATCCATTATAACCATAACATAATTTGGCAACATACATCAGGGGCTGTAAAAACATCCAAACCCTGGGCGCCTCGGTGGCTCAGTTGGTTAAGCGACTGCCTTCGGCTCAGGTCATGATCCTGGAGTCCCGGGATCGAGTCCCGCATCGGGCTCTCTGCTCGGCAGGGAGTCTGCTTCTCTCTCTGACCCTCCCCCCACTCGTGTGCTCTCTCTCTCATTCTCTCTCTCTCAAATAAATAAATAAAATCTTTAAAAAAACAAAAAAACAAAAAAAAACATCCAAACCCTTTGATAGAGAATGCCTCTTTTTATAATTTAGTGTAAGGAAACCATCTTGAGTACAGAAAAGAATAGATCTAAAAGATTAGATCAATAATTGGAAATTTACCACGGAGCCTGGGTGGCTCAGTCGGTTAAGTGTCTGCCTTCGGCTCAGGTCATGATCTACAGGTCCTGGAATCGAGACCCGCATCAGGCTCCCTGCTCAACGGGGACCCTGCTTTTCCCTCTCCCTCTGCCGCTCCCCCTGCTTGTGCTCTCTCACTCTCGCTTTCTCTCAAATAAATATCTTCAAAAAATAATTGTAAATTTACCATGTGATGCACACAATTTCATTTAGTTCATAAAATAATCCTATGAAGTTAGTACTGTCATTATTCCTATCCTACAAATGGGGAACCTGAGACACAGAAAGATCATGTGACTTGCTCCCAGGACTTAAGAGCCAGGCAGAGGTAAAGGCAGGCTCGGGAATATTCTGCTTCTAAAGCCTACACACGGAACTTCTACACCAGAATTACTACCATGCAAGAACATGGTTAGCATAGAAGCATTCGCTTTACTAAAAAAATTCAAGAAAAGAGGGGCATCTGGCTGGCTCAGTTGGTGGAGTAATCGACTCAATCTCAGGGTTGCAATTTCGAGCCTTGGGTTGGGTGTAGAGATTGCTTAAAAATAAAATCTTAAAAAAATTTCAAGAAAAGGAGGAAAATAGGAATTTAACGGAAGGGAAAAAAACAAAACACCTCTTGACTGTTCCCAAAAAATAGAAAGAAATTTGGGGCGCCTGGGTGGCTCAGTCGTTAAGCATCTGCCTTCAGCTCTCAGGTCATGACCCCGGGGTCCTGGGATCGAGCCCTGCATCGGGCTCCTTGCTCCGCGGGAAGCCTGCTTCTCCTTCTCCCACTCCCCTTGCTTGTGTTCCTGCTCTTGCTATCTCTCTCTCTGTGTCAAATAAATAAAAAATAAAAATCTTAAAAAAAAACAAAACAAACAAAAAATAGAAATTCTAAGAAATGTGTAAACAATTGGGATATTATCTTTGCATTTTAATATCAACAATTATAAAAATTGGGGAGAAGTAATAATCGTTAAGAACTTTCCTTAGACAACCAGAAGAACTGTAAAATGGGTAACAGTCTTAGTTTCTGCCTCAAAATTAGCCTGACAATAAGCCAGGAGGCGTATTTGTCTGTCTGCAGACTATGGAGAAGAGCTATGCACCTATTGTTCAAAAGATGCAAAGTGCCTGGTTAAGAACTCATGTGTATCATTTTAGAATTAACATGGGGACACTGGCCAAACACGTTTAACAAGTAAGAAATACAATGTAAAATGTCAGAAAAACCAGGACACTGACAACGTGGCAAATTGCACACACGGCCGAAACAGGTGAGTATTTCAAGAAGATTAAGGAAGAGATTTGACTGAATGTAAAAGGAAAATATTTTACATAAAAACATAACACTCAAAACACATCACAAAATTCAAATATGGAAACGGGGGTATCCAAATGGTCTTAAAACGGTCAAGTTCTACAACACTGCAGGAGCAATCAATAAAACTCGTGCACTCTGAGTAAATTTTTTGCTGATTTCCATCCTTAACACAATTTTACAGTCAAGATGACAGATTTCTGCTTTTTTCACACCCTACCATGATTTATACCTAACTATCTTCTATAGTCATCGTTTAGCCAAATCACATACAATTGCACTGGGGCAAGGAAAGGAGACATCTGGGAGCTGCTTTCTGGGCTACAATATAGAAGTAAGTCAATACATAACTACAACTCTGCCTCATGAAGCCATTTTTACTCTCCATGTCCCTGTCGGGATGTTTTAAACACGCAAAACTGAGAAATTTAACAATTTCTACCCTCAACTCTAGTAGGCCTGATTATATGATTATAAGAATAGCTAAAATGATTTTTTTAATATTTTATTTATTTATTTGACAGAGAGAGACACAGCAAGAGAGGAAACACAAGCAGGGGGAGTGGGAGAGGGAGAAGCAGGCTTTCCGTGGAGCAGGGAGCCCGATGCGGGGCTTGATCCCAGGATCCCGGGATCATGACCTGAGCCGAAGGCAGATGCTCAACGACTGAGCCACCCAGGCGCCCCAGAATAGCTAAAATTATTAACAGGAACTGCAGAATTTGAGGGAAGAGTTCAAGAAAACCTAGGACTTTTTTCTGACTCTGAGTATCTGAGAACTGCCTATCATCACTGGGGAGAAAATAAAGTCACATTAGAGAGCAGGAGAAACGCCCCTGCAGGGGTGAGAGGCATGGGAACCTCTGGTCCAGGGCGGGCCTAATTGGCAGTCACCTGCTGTGCCTGGTGTGGAGCCGGTCCCCGGGTATCTGGTGGGGACAGCGAGGTTGTGTCGAGGTCATGGTGAGCTGGGAGGTGAGGAAGGCAGCTTGCATGTGACAGGCCCCCTAGTCCATCCTCGGCTCATGAAAGGCTGAGCAGGGGTTGGAGTTCTGGTTTTAATCTTAGTGTAGGAATTTATTTCATGAAGTACCCCGCGGAAATCTCCCTAGAATCTGTTTCCTTGAAACACAAGAAAGCAAAAACAGAATCTCTCGAGAAGGTATCGAGACCCAGACTCCAGGTTTGTTCTTTTAAGACCCCCGGGTAGGAGCTTTTGTAAAGGCTAACAGCAACATCTGGTCTAAATCCATATCCACCTGCACTGTTTCTTTTGGAAGCAAATCTGGATTTAACAAAATTTTAACTGCAGAATGACATGTATATTATTCCTTGCCATCGTAAGAGAAAAGTATAGAGAGGGAAAGAGTTTCACTAATTTCTCCATAATATCCTCTTAAAGTTTATACTCAATATTTCATTCTCCTGACTAAAAAAAAAAAAAGTGGGGAAGTTTAATTTTTAAAGAAACACTAAAGAACTTTTAATACAGAATAAGCACACTGTCTTGTCATTTATGTACTAACAGTTCCCAGAAAATTTAAGAGGTCTTTAATGAAATTAAAAGAACAGACTTTATTTCTTCATATATTTACTTAGTATCTTCCCATCTAACTTCTTACCTAATAAAGTGACAGAAGTGAAGAAAATGAATTAGGGCATACAGTTATGTGTGCGTATATGTACATTCATGTATGTGTGTATATACACATAAACTTGTATATATATTCACAAGCTACGTCTAGTTATTAAGGTAATGTCAGCACCCCAATAACAATTCCTAACCTGTAAAACATTAAATTTTGGTAGAAAATAAAAAAACAACATTCACTCTTCTATTCTTTACTATTTCTCCCCAAACTCAGCTATTCCTTCTGTATTCTTGTGTCTTTTCTCTAAGACTTGTAATGAAATGAATCCAAGAACTTGAACACCCATCTTGTCAAGTGGCCTTTACAATTCAAAAGAATTAAAAGAATTATACATGTTTTCCTTATACCCATTCACCAAAGAGTCCATGAATACATGTGCTGTATGTTACCTTTTCCAGGAACATGTAAGTGTAAGCTGCTTTTAATAAATTTCTCCCCATAAAATCATCATCTGCTACTTTCTCTCCTTTTGGTAAAGCACATTAAGTCTATTTTATGGAGAGAGTGAGGTCTGAGTCTGATTCTCTGTGAGCCTCTCACACCTGCAAAAAAGCTTGCAACCTCCTATCTATTTATGTAAAAGATCTTAACAGAAAACCCACCTCCTCAGAAAGCACACCTTCGGGAGACTGAATAATTTAAAAGAAAACTTAATTCATGATCAAAGAAATCCTATTGTGCCAAGAACTATTCATGCTCTCAGAAAACAGAAAGCAGTCTTAACCTTATAGCATCTACCATATAAGGAAAAAGGAAAAAAAAAGTTACCTTTTTGTGCAAGGCATGAAATTCGCTGTACCTTTTTTCAACAAAATGTTTTCTTCCATTCATTAGCACTTCTATCTTAAATACCTAAGGAAAAAAAATTAAAAAGATTAATTCCACCAGTTCAAAACCCTCAAATGTCTGATGTGGTAAGTTTGTGACCATGATATATTTCATCCCTTTAATTACAGTAGCTGATCCCCTAAAACCCAGAAGGCTCAGGAGACCCTGGTCCAACAGCACTGATTAATGAGCACTCAAGCCAAATGCTTTAGTTAGTACAAACTGAAGTATCCCCTTAACGTGTCTAAAAGCAACAGAAACTTAAACGCATTCACAGGCTCCTTAACTTTCTAATCAGAGCACATTCCTCCTTTAAAATTGTTTCACCAGATGAGTATGATGGTATTGAAATAAAGTGTTTGACAACAGCAAGAGCCTGGGAGAAATGGCAGGCCCCAGCATTCCGTTCTGGGTATTATGATGATGGCCATGCTGTGTCATCTATACGACAATCAGGCAAACAGCAGTGCATTTTAGGTTAATTTCTTCCTAACCTGCATATTCATCTCTAGTCTCAGCTGGGCCTATTCTGCTGTTTGCAAAACAAGGAAAATGTAGTAAAGGCTCATTTTCCCTGCATGATGCCAGTGACAGCTTGCACTCCCACCTCCAGAAGGTTGAAAGGCCAGAAGAAAAGTCTCTCTGGGTGCACTAATTAGCAAGCACTAACATGACATTTTCTTGGTTCTTAGGTCAGTGGGTCAAGACTGGGAACAAGGGATGAGAAATATCATGAAATGCTCATGAAAATACAATGTTAAGATGGGGTGGGGTCAGGATGCTTAGCAAGAAGGGAAGAGAAGGTGATCTGTTATTTTCAAGAGTATGTCTTTGACTCCTGTTTCGCTGAGCAAGACGTGGACAATGCCAAGATGATGGAATACTGTTCAATGAGTTAGTAAGCCTAATTTCTTGTTTCAGTTGCCCTTTTGGAAAAAACTAGAGTTGAGGTCACAGGACACGAGAAAGTATTAAAAGCATGCTAACTTTAAAGAAAACTAAAGTTAGCACATGAAACACATGGGCACACACCGTCATTATGAAAACAGACCCCCTACGGCTCTACATTTCTACCTCATATGTAAGTATGACCTTTTTGACAACTGTATCATCAAACACAAAATGTATTTGTAGATTTGTACTTCTTTGAATCAGAAACAAAATCTTGTGTTGTATGACTCAGCTTAAGAAACCTGCTTTTATTAAAGCAAATGGTAAATATTTACCAGTTTAATCAATATCTTATACTAACATTTAGTTTTTCAAGAAACCTCCCTAAAAATATTTTTCTTTGGTCAATTAGTGAAAATAGTCTCTTCTAAAAACAGATCCATACGTTTCAAAGTCTCAGATGTATGTATACTATTTTTTAGAAAAATATTCTGTTTACTAATTCACCAAAGAAAATTCTTCTCCTTCAAAGACACTGCCAGGAATAGGAGGAGGAAAACACCCTGAGAAACACAAACAAAAGAAGCTCAGCTTCAACACACGGGCTTGGTTAATAAGACACAGAGTCCCTTTTTAGTGTCAGGCCCCGGAGTTAAATCAGGACAATGTGGGAGCAGAAGTACTTTCCATCTGCTGAAAGGCAGGAAAGAAATGAAGTTATGCTCCGAGTCTAGTTACATGAGGCGACATCCTAAAACCCACCACTTTAATTGGCACATTTGCTGCAGAATCCACAGAAGGAGAAAGCTGAAGACTCGGAAAGGCTCAACCTACCGGGTCACCCTCTTGAAGGCCAGGGATGAGACACATTACACAGCGGCTGCCTCGTGGAATGTCATCCCTTCTATCGACCAGATGGCTCCATTACCAAGCTCCACAGTTACTTTTCAGGCACTCAATTCATGGGGGTGGCGGGGAAGGGGGCGGTTTGTACACATACACACACGCACCCTGCGTGGTACATTTTCATGCTAATATTTTTATCCTGTTGCCATTTCAAAAATGTACAATAAACCTTACATGGTTCAGACTTCTTTTAAATTCTGCGAAAATATCTTGGAAAGGAAGTTGGTTAATCAGAATTTCCAGGACAATGTGAAGCAAGAAATGGAACCAATTTAATAAATCTTATTTTCCTGAATTCCACAGCAGTTTTTTTTTGTTTTGTTTTGTTTTTTTAAGAGTTTCTGATACATGTTGTCCCGCTCCCTGGAAAATCTTTTTCCTGCTTTGTTCTTCTGGCAAACTCTGAGCAGCTATTACCTACCTCTAAGATAGGGACAGCACAAGAAGATGCTGGGAAAGCATGCAGCACAGTATCTGGCATTCATTCATTTATTTATTTAGCAGATATTTACTGAGCGACTACAACGTACTCAGGAGTTGCTCTAGGCTCTGGGGATTCAGCAGTGAACAAAAGAGGCAAGAGCTCAGGCTTTGAGGTGCATATATCCTATCTGGTGAGGGAGGCCAACTATAAACACATGAATGAATACAATGAAGTCAGGAAATAAAAAAGTCCTGCAGAGAACAAGGCAGCAGGGTAATGACATAGAGCTGAATGAGGGTGTGGTTTCAGACAGCACAGTGTCAGAGAAGGTCTCCCCAGGCAGAGCGGCGGTGAGAGGTACAACATCTGTACACAAATACCAGGAAAAAGTTGAATGTGGCTTTCTCTGGAATTTCAGACTGGGAGTGGGTGGACAAGGACTTTCTTTTTCATATCTGTTTAAAAAAATTTTTTTTAAATTAGAGCCTAGAGCAGGGTGATTTCCATGTCTGGTCAAGATGGCGTAACAGGGAGCAGATTTACCCTCCCACCAGAAACAACTTGAAATCTGTGGGAATGGTGGCTCTCAAGACATCAGACATGAGGAAATTGAAGGAGAGTGAGCCCTATGGTTACCCAGTCGGAGCCCTGAGGGGAAATGAGGGGAAGCCAGTTCCAAGGACAGGGTATTGAGCAAGAGTGAGCTGCACACAGAGAGGACTCCTGTGACCTACCAGAGGTCTCCCTCCAGCATTCAGCCGAACCCTTGTCAACACATGGGATTGGGTAAACTTACCCAAGGACAGGAAGACATTAGAGAAAAGAGTGCTCAGAGCTCACAGATAACTGGGCATGGAGCCTGTTACCAAATGCCAGGGTAGAAAACCTCATAATTCCTGAAACATTAGTTAGAGTTCTCAGAAATGTCTTGCCTCAGTAGTGGGGCAAACTTAACAGTAGACTAAAGGCTCTTTTAGTCCAGTGTAAAAAATCTTAAAACAAGACCTAAAGAGTATAAACTGTTTCCAAGTAACTTAACCATATGCCAGGACAAAGCTTAAGAATATTTTTAGGAATCTAAAAATATCTAGGACCTAACAAGACAAAATTCACAGGGTCTGGCATCCCATCAAAAAGAGGCAGGAAAATACAACTCATAATAAGAAGAAAAACCAATCAATAGAAACTGATCCAGAAATGACACAGATGATAAAATTAGTAGACGAAAGCATTAAAATCACTATTATAAGGCAGTTTCTTATATTTAAAAATCCAGAGGAAAGGGTGACGATGACCATGGGAGATACTAAAAAGACACAAAGCAAGTCTGGGTCCCACTGATGAAATCAACAACATCTATGATTAAAACAAAAATAAACTGGATGGGATTTATAATAGACTAGACACTGCAGGATAAAAGGTAAGTGAGTTTAAAGACCCAGCAACAGAAACTGTCCCAAATGAAAGAAAGGGAACAAAAGCTAAAAAATAGCTAAACAGAGCATCAGTAAACTATGGGACAGCTTGAAAGAGAAGAATATATGTATAATTGGAGTCCCCACAGGAGAGCAGAGATAGGAGACTGGGGCTGGCAGAAAAGACAAATACAGTTAAAGAAATCATGACCAAAATGTTTCCAAATTTGATGGAAACCATAACCCCGCAGATCTAAAAAGACCAATGGATCCGAATACAAGAAACATGGGGGGGAAAAAATCCAAGGCAAATCATAACTAAATTCTTTAAAACCAGTAAGAAAGAGAAAATCTGAAAAGCAGCCACGGGAAAAAAAGAGACATCAAGTAGAAAAGAAAGAAAGGTAAGTTGGATACCATATTTCTTCAATATTTCCATAAATAACCAAGCATATAAGAGTGATTAAATGCATATATACTCCACTTATGTTTTACTGTCATAGTAATATCTTCTATGTAAAGTAGCATGTATAAAATAAAATGTACTAGTTAAGGCCAAAGTTTTAATCATTATTTTTAAAGCATTTCAGTACTTCTCCCCAGTCAAATAGCAATCACAAGAGTGACAACAAGGATTTTTCTAGCACTTTTTATGTGCAGGCACTGCCCCGAGCTCTTTGCTCATAATAACCACTCATTTAGTTCTCACCACCCCAAATGAAATAGGTAGCATTATCTCCATTTTACAGGTCAGGAAACTGAGGCAAAGATTAAGTAACTTGACCATAGTAGAGCTGCATTTTGAACCCAGCAATCTGGTCCTGAACCTGCCCTTCTAACCCCTGCACAATACTGACTGACTCCCAATGAACAGAGAGAGTTCTTTAGATAGCCCCATTTCTTGGGGGAAATGTTCTGGAGTAAGGACAACACCTTCCATTCAATCCTCCCTGGAGGTTCTGTCCCCTAGATGGGCTTCTCAGGAGCATAAGACACTTGGCAAGGACAGTGCTTGTGGTGTCATGAGGTCTTTACCCTCAACTCTTTGGAGGCTGTGCTCCTTTCCATGGAACCAGACCACTGATCTCTATAAAAAGCATACAACTTTGTAGAGTAGAAGGGTACTTTTTTATATTACCTCCTCCTGTCAGGATCTGTGCCCACACTGCCCCCTCAAACTCCTTATACTGTGGTTCCAAATGTTAGCTTGTATGGTTTTCGCTTAAAAAAAAAAAAAAGTATGTATGCATCAAAATCGTTTCAAAAATTCCAAAGACTGTAAACTTAAAAGTATAAGTTTCTTATATAAGAGACTTGTATAAGTCTGTGCCAACTCAAGAAGGATCTTAAATATCCTTTCACGAATTGTCCCCGTGCATATAAGCTCT